ACTTTATCTGCTAGAAGAAGAAATATAGCTCTAGACTGCTAAGGCAAAAAATATATTTAAACAAGCATAACAGTGTAAAAATATTCCTATAATTGATTTCACCACCTTGCATGTACAGCTGAGTTGTTATTAAGACTTACATGCATGAGGGTTCTCTCTACCTTCTACTGCTTCTAGAAAAGTCTTTAGACAGTATCTCTATGTTCTTTCACTGTTAGAAAGCTCATAACTTTGTTCCATGTGCAAACCACCATTTTGTTTGCCGTGACCACACCCACTTACGTAGGGTGGGCGGGTGGTTGCTAGGGCTTGTTATTTCTCCAATACAACGTGTATAAAAGAAATGAAGTGTTGACATACAATCAAATATTATATATATATCGCACGTGGGTGAAATCAATTATAGGACGACCTGAGGGCTACGCCCTAGGTCGTAAAAATCAATTCAACTGTGTGGACAGAATGACAATCCAATGCACACACATGTATATACATGTGTGTGTTCATGCATACTTGTTGACGAGGTGGCTACAGTTCCAAGTGTAGGAATTGTTGTAGAACTTATAGGAATAAGAATAATCTCAATACTGGCAGTAGGAGACATACTACCTATAATAATGATGGGTTATTATTATTATCATAAGTAATTAATTATTTACTGTTATGTGTACTACTAGAAGAAGTAGAAGGCATTTTGATAATTTCGACCAGTGTGGGATATTGAACAGCAGGTCCATGTAATGATCCATTGACATTGTCATACGCTGTCACTGTGTAGTTACCAGCTGGTAATGATAGCAGTGTAGGCTCTTGGACCAGTGGTAGTGAGACTAATGACACATTCAGAACTGTTCCATTACTAGTATCATTAAATATCACATGACATCCATCAGCAGTTGATCCTGATACAAACACACACTGTACACTAACTGATCCATTGGTATATGTAGAAATGATGATAAGATCTTGTGTATGAAACGTAGCTATTAAGAATATGTACTAATAAAAATTATAATGATTATTATAAATCTTTCTTACATATTGAGGTGCTACAAGTTGCTCTGGTCTTGTCTCTAAAGTTCTTAACAACAGCAGTTAGTTCATAATGTCTGAATGGTGACAACTTGAATTCAATTATATGTTCAGTTTCATTAATAATATCAGTAACTTCAGTATTCCCATTCATTAGTGAAACAAGGCATCTTGATGGAGGACAACCAAGCTGTAAAGTATACAAAGTGTCAAAAATTAATAAAAATAAAATAAATAATTACTTCAAAAGAAATAGAAGGTATCAGTGGCTGTGTGTCATACTCAGCAATTGAAAAGGCTAAAAAAAATAATATCAATATTATATTCTATTTTCTTATATATATATATATATATATATATATATATATATATATATATATATATTTATAGTATACTACGTGGGCGCATCAAAGGCACCGCCTGTTCCGTTATATTGCATACAGCACTAGTACAGCACCGGAAGTCAGTGTCGGTTGGTTGGCTTCACAATGGCTAGCAGTACTGGGTGAGAAGTTCTTTGTGACCAGAGAAGAAACGAAACTGCTCTACCTATTGCGAAACAGACTCACAACACTCC